CCAATTAATTACTTTTGTATTTGCGTATTACCAGATATATCTGAACAAATCTTCACAAATTTACCATCATTAATTTTCTATAACCACTATTATTAATCACCTGCCTCAGTGTGCCAAAATTCAACTGGCATCATCCCAATTCCTTTTACACTTAGCTGCTCCCGAGGGGAAAAAACAACCACACCCACTCAGCATCTCCTAATTACTCCACTAATCGCTTTACCGTGGTTACAAGCCCTTCTTCTCTTAGTCGTTTACCATGACCTGGCATCCCACAAGCCACCTAAGCAATTTCTTTTGGTCGTCAGAGCTATTCCTAGGCCCATTCTGTATAAATACTTCACAGCGTACAGCTCCCACTCTATTGCCCGACGTCCTTATCTACATAGCCAGATGTGACAAATCAGCCCCCGAACACACAAGGACACAGTCAGTTCCAGAAACTATGCAAGATTAATCTACTAATTCCAGCAACAATTAATTAATTTTTCCTAAAAAAATAACTCTTAAGATTTAACAACTTAGTTATTCAATCAAAGAAGGCAATTTATTTAATTAAAACATTCCACCTACTGTGGCAAAAAGGAACAAAACAATGGTTTGTCAGTTATTTACGATTAACTAAATATTCTAAATTTAGAATATTTGAATGCATGCAAAGCCATAGTCATAAAAATACAACTCATTAAAAGTACGCAGAAATCACAGTGAGAATGCCCTCTAACAAAATGCCATCAGGCTTTCTTTTTGAAAACAATTTTTCATTGCGTTCACGTACGTGAATTCAGGCCTTCATATGACAACAGACTGCCAAAGATACAACATAAAAGCGTGCTAATCAAAATCAACAACCCTTAAGAGTTAGAAAAAGTAACGGGCGAAAATTTCAAATAGATTTTCGCACATGGTTGTAAAATGTTGTAAAAAGACAAAACAAAGCATGACAAATCAGTCTCTCACTAGAATGTTTAACCAAATGTGACATTATCGCATCATTGTGTATGCGTAAGTGTGGGTGTACACGCTGACCATTCTTTCATTTCTTTTTTTCTATATTGGTACTTTTTTCATAACTTTTTGCTTCTCTGTCCATCAAAACCTGATCGCTTTTTTACGTTTTCTTCTCCTCATAATTTTTTATCATAACTTCCTATTTTAATCTGTTGCTTCGATGAGTGTGTATGTGTGTGCGTGTCAAAGAACATGGAAATTCCAAAGGACTTACATTTTTTCGGTACTAACATCATCTTGATTATTTTTTCTTTTTTTTCATATTCACCTCGTTGAGTCCTCCATTTAAAAAAATTCTTCGACCATTTCCACCTTGTGTTGTAACACTCATTCTGGCCTACCACCTCCACCACCACCATACTGAGAGGTCCTTCTCAGCGGCGCCAATTTAATTATAATGTTGCATCTTCTCTCTGTCGTCTTCTCCCGGACGGAGGTCGCTTAATGTTTTGGTTCTACAATAACTGACATCAACACGGAAATTTTTCACTGAACTATTTTATTAATGTCGACATGTATTATTCAGTGGGGGTCGTTTTCCCTCACTGGAGAGCCGTTTCAGACACGAAAGAGAACACATCTACATTGCTTGATGGTTAAGAAGAAAAAAACTCTCTCTATCTATCATTCCCATGCTAGGTCAACCAAGCAAATTCGACTCCATTATAATGGCTTCCATCTGACGTCGAAGATGAACTTCCAAATCTCGGAGACACGATACACTTCCACTAAAATAATAATAGTCTGTTAAATTATTATTTACCGAGACTCGAGTGTTTTAGTTGATGCTCAAGCCGTGGTACCATAGATTAGCATCTTATCTACAGTAACGCCAAAGCATCTTCGATTGTGTTTGTCTGGTCGATAAGATTTTCAGATAATTTCCATTTTACTCAAAGCTTTAGCTATGCGAATTTTCACATTATTTTCAGTAGAATTTATCAGACGTCCTATGTATTCCACAGATTTTATTGATTCAGCTGAGACAGTTTACATTGAGCTTGCTGGTTGAAGCCTATGTATTCAGTTTTAGTGACATTGAAATCATTGGCAGCATTTTCAAGATAATGTAGGAGTAATGTATCAGTGATAGCCAGGTCATTCGCTTAGGCAATATATATGTCAACTTCTTTAAAGGATATCGATGTGAGAGTTTTGGTAATAATGTAAAATTAAAATGGTGATTTTTGTCGAGGCAAAGGCTCAATACGTATTCAAGGTTGATAACAAAGAGAATAGCTGAAATTGTTTCAACCTGGAAGACTCCTGCTTTGGTGTCGAAGAAGTTAGTTTGGCCGTCTGAGAATCTAATCAAAGAATTGGTATTTTTTTTTATAGCAACATTATGGCAAAATATCCTATAATATGCTTAACCACTAGAAATTAAAAAAAAGAATTAGGATTCAAAGACACTTAATCGTCTGCATTCTTCTACATATATATTTTTGTCAGCCTATATAGAAGACTAGGTTTTGGGAAGTCATTAAGGATATAAAATGACGAACAGGCGCGACTAAGGTTAAACGTTAATTATCTACATTTATGTAGAGAAACATGTACATTTAGAGAACTACCCAGAAAAAAAAGTTTTGGTGCGTTTTTCGCTTCCTGGAAGCTACACAGCTACAGAGGACGAAAGATATGACAGTGCGCGATGGAATACCGTAAGTTAATGGAAGTGCAGAAGAAAAATCGTTAAAAGCAGAAAAATGAATGCTGAACATTGGGATATCGACCATCCTTTGTGTTAGAGAAAGGCTTATATATATATATATACGTGTGTGTGTGTGCGTGTGTCTGTGTGTGTATGTATGTGTGTAGCACAACGGGAACTGAGACATATCGTGAAAAAACTAAATTTACTAATGACTACAAAGTACCAGATGATATGGAGAGCTATGATCGCACATATCCTTAAGGCACGTTAAAAGAAGATAGATATTTATGTTGATGACTCAAATATTTACTCCTACCTTAATACTAAGTCCGGTGGTTACGACAAAATGTGAGAGCTACTCTCGAAAATGATACCCGATCATCTGTTAAGTGATGTTTTGAAAATTTTGTTGTCGCCAAAACGAAACTGCTATCCATAACTTATGATAGAGAACCATTTTTCTACTCCATCAGCACGACTGATGCTAACCTCAAGGACAGCGACTCATTGCGCCTTCTTACTGATATAAATTTGACTGCTAAATAATTTGTTCATTTTGTAGTGTAAGACATTTTATCTCGTAAGAATCTTGCTTGAACAAATCTACCATTCGGTTGGGCATTAAATATTGCTGTCTTATCTGGTCTGATTCTCCGCCTACTTATACGAATATGGTATATAGTGATATCGATTCTAATCTAGTATCCTGACTTTAGTCACTTTGCCCTCTTTTTTTTTCTTTGTTTTTTTTTTATAAATAACTTCATGGCATTATTTACATTATTCGGACTTTTTTCCTCATCTTTGATGCCATATTTATCACAAGGTTCCGGCCTTCTTCCTGGAATGTCAAGCAGAACCCTCGCTCGCTGGGGCAGAGTGTTCTAGTTCCACGTGCCATGTTTAATGGATGTCAGTTAAGTTATCTCCTGTTAATTCACCTCCCCAAGTTCTCCACCGCCTAAACTAGGTATTGAACTCACAACTCTTTGGTCGTGGCACTGATCTAACCAACGCCTTTATCCACTATGCCATATGTTCTTAACGACATATGTGTATGGATTTCTAGGACTAATGTCTTCCAGTAACCATTTTTACCAGTGCTCATATTGCATTTGTTTCTGTTATCATTACATTTTACCACTGCACATATTGCAATTTTCGTTGCAGTTATTGCTTTTCTCTGGCACTCCTTATTATTGGTTCCCGTATTATATTCATTTCTATGCTTGGTAGGCTCAGGAGACATCTGTGGCCTAGCATATGTGCTGATTCCTTAAGTTTACGAATTTTCTAATGATGTTCTTCGTCTGTGATTTCAAACTGATCCCACAAAGGGCGGTGATCTCCTTTTCCCTCCATATGTGGTCAACCACACTTGAATCCTTACCTTATGGGGGCGACCTTTATATTTCTTTCCGTAGCTGCACGGGACAGTGTACACACAGTTTTTAGTCATGTTCTCCTCTATGGCAGGGGGTCTTACTCGGAGAGTCTTCAGTTCCAACCACTGAAGTAGGCCGAAACGCTGGGATAAATATGGCAAAGCTGAGGACAATATCCCGAATAATGTAAATCGTTTATATAATGCCTCATCTCAGAAATATAGGTAGTTATCTTCATGGCAGTTGCTGTGGTTTCTGTAGAAACAGATAGCTGCAACCCTAAGTTCAATTCTAATTATTTATTTTCACACACATCTCACCTGCGCAACTATCTGCCCTTTCACCTACAATCTTCAATTTTTTTTACATTCAACGTCAATTGCAAATTTCAGTCTTGCTGAATCCGGTTCTTTCTTTACTCTTCACTAAAGTCTTCTAATTATCTTCCATTTTCAGTAATCCCATAGCGGCGTTATCGCCTTAAAATTATCTAATAAGAATGTTAAAACTACGTCTAATCACTTGGTCATTTGACCTGATAATCTTTTCGAATATGTCGTATTTTTAAAGACTGCGTTTTGAGTTTTACGTGTCATTTTCCCGTCTTATTTAGCATGACATTTTTCTAATGTATACGGATAAAACTATATAATCGCTTTCTTATTAGAAAATTTTCTACACATGCAATAGTGAATAATACAAACGTATTTTAATATGGGAAACTACTTTGGAAGTTAAATTAAATACTTGTACATCCGTAGAAACTTTTGGGCTCACTTCGATGTGATATAATGATTAGCAAGATTGTCTCAGGCGATCAATTACGACTGAATAGTGAGTTAGATCTTCACTGATTGCCCCGTAATTTCGGCTTTGTGTCATTTTTAATCTACGCTTAGCAAATCAACACCCGTGGAATCATTTGTGTTGGAGATGTATTAGCGCAAATGCCCTGTTCATCTACGTATATAAATAATGTTTGCTCCTTTCGCCAAGCCGATATAATGAAACGTTAGTTATTCAAAGGATTTCCTGTGAAAGACGTTCTCCAATCAATTGTTTCTCGGTCCTGGGTACCGTATTTACTTATGAGATGATGATAACAACTACAACAAAAACAATAATAATAATGATGATGATGATGATGATTAGTATTATTAATATTTGCAAGAATAATTGAACCTTATATTGTTTCACATTCTGTGTTAGAGATATCGATCTGGCTGGATATTTCAAGAGGGAAGGAATGTGAACTCTCTAATTACTAAAGTCAAATTCGACTCTTTTAGTTGGTGGCTAACAAATTGAAATGGCTCTATGTAACTAGAATCGACTTTGTTATACATGACCTTAAGGTCAGCGGAAGTCAAGTAGGTGGCCTGTGCGGACATTCACCAAGAGAAACTTGCACGAACGAGGGAGAAATTCAGTATCAGTCAGAGTCTCTTGAGTAGAAGGACGCTGATAATTTTAATATGACGTTTTAGAAGAAAATGCACACGAAAAGGACATTTATAATTGCAATCAGGGGACAGCTGAAATTGCTACGAGAAATAATGAAGAAAAAAGAGCTTAGATAATTTAACATACAGAGAACAAGAGGGACTTGTGTCAAATGTAACCTCTGTTGCGTGAAGCAAATTGTAATGATGAAGTTATTATTGAAACTTTTAATCATACGTAGTAGGTGAGAATAAATTTGGAGTACACTCACAAGTGACAATGTCCAACACTCTAGGCAGTAGATTGACAGGGATAAAACTGATAAACTCACCCCGAATCTTAGCTCCTTGGAACAAAAAAATCATTGCGTGAGTGTTACTTACTTAAACAGCTTACGGTTAAATCACACTGAAACACCGGTTCTCGTTCGATCACCGAAGTTAAGCATCGTAGAGCCAGGTCAGTACTTAGATGGGGGACCGCTTGGGAACACCTGGTACTGTAAGCCCCAAAGTCCAACCCCACCTCACTGTCGCTGGGGGGGAGTAAACGGTAGTGTCAGAGCTATGCCGCCCGGAACTTCGTTCCTGGTAGGGCCACCCAAGGCGGACAGGTCTGACACACATGCCGGCTAACAAGGGCTCTGGTGAAAATCCAAGGAGCGTCTGCATCGGTAACCGGCGGCTTCTGGTCGTTCCTGTCTCTGCGTCTGTGGGAACCCTGCGGCAAGCAAGAACATTATCCGAGTAGGCCTGGGTACCCTACTTCTGTAATTTATCCCAAGAATCTTCTTCTCATAACAGGAAGAAGCCGGATCAATCCGCCCAGGGTGAATGCCGCATCAGTACAGTACTTGCTTAAACAGATTATGAAATTTTTCGTTGCATTACATTTTGATATGGACAACTTTTATCCAATGAAGAGCAGATTCAAGGGTTCATCCCAGGCTCTGTCGCATCAAACTCTACTGAATTTTAGCCAAAATCTATGGAAGAGCTAACTGGTAAATGTTAATGAAGTCATTGCTATTAATGGTGAATATGTCTTTTCAGCTTGTGATAGTCCTTTTTGGGGATGTAAACCTTCTCGAAAGTTTTTTGTTGGTCATAGGGAGAACTGGGTTATTTTTCAGCGCACCGTCCGATGCGTGTTAGTAGAGGTGTGTATGAAACGTTTCGCTTGGGCGATCATGTACTTTTTCAATTCTTGGTTGACTTAATAGAAGAATTCCCACAGTAGGCTTCCTTTGATTTCTACGGTTGACGGGGTTGCCAAGCAAAGATGTAGGACATTGTCTGTTCTGCTATTTAAACCATAGTTTTGAAGAGATAATCTCGAGTCATACCATTCTTCCCAAAAGTTAACGAATTCATTTGGAATTAGAATTCAGCTCTTCGATTCCTCATTTCAAGAGGTTATACACCAGAGTAACAGAACATTCAAACTTACAACACGTGGTTTCCCCAAGCGGTCGCAGATATAGATAGCGACCTTTCTCAACATTGCTTAACTTCTTTGAGCAGATGTGAACCAGTTTCAAACTGATAAAACTGCATATGTTAAATCGGTAACTGAATAAAATATAATTATACCTTATTTTATGAAGAAATTGAATAATCAAAAACGTGTTTTATTTATTAATCAAACTGTTATATAAACTCTAACGGGTATGTCCCAATACTCATAAATACGTTGGACACTATGGTAAGTGGGGGTAATATGCTGTATTAGTCCACAACTAGCAGTGGTTTACCTACTTCAGGCCGCTGGCGAGTATTATATTTTGTTGATTTTATAAAGATTTCTATTTTATTTCCAACCTATGTTTTGGTTCTTCCTCATTCAGTAATCTTTTCTAGGTTACAACAATAAGAAATAAAGAAAACGATAGGAAGAAAAGAGAAAGAAAAAAAGAAAGAAAGAGAAAAACGGCAAATAAAAAGAAGCAATAAAGAAGGAATAAGATAGAATTGTACTTATATACAATAAATATCAATATACTGTCTAAGTAGTTCACCACTACTACACGCGACTATTTTATTTTGTTGATGTTATAAAGATTAGCATCTCATTTTACCATCCTCTGCTTTGGTTCTTCCTCATTCAGTAATCCTTTCTAAGTTACAACACACACTAATAGAAAAAAATTAAATTTACCACTTATAGCCATTTCACATCTTACTGCATATTTGTGGTTGATCAATAAAGAATGAAATTATTTCCAACCTATTTTTCCTTATTCGCTTTCTTTCTTTGGTTTTGCTCTCATTTGTTCTTCACTTAATCTCTTTCTTAATCACCGCCCCCTGTGGGATCATGTTGAGATCATAGACAGGGAACACCATTGGAAAATTCGTAAACTTAAGGAATCAGCACATATGCTAGGCCACAAAAATCTCCTGAGCCGACCAAGCATAGAAATAAATACAATATGGGAACCAGTAATAAGGAGTGCCAGAGAAAAGCAATGATAACAAAGTTGCAATATGAACTCTGGTAAAGACATGCAATGATAACAGCAAAAAAATTGCAATATGAGCAAGGCGTTGGTTAGACAGACAGTGACAGACCCAAAGAAGGTGAGTTCAAGTGGAGAACTTTCAGAGGGAAAATTAGCAGGAGATAACTGATAACTGACATCCATCAAACATGGCACGTGAAATTAGAACAGTCTACCCCAGCGATCGAAATAAAGGGTTCAGTTCGAAATTCCAACCACCTGAAGAAGGCCGGAGCGTACAACGGCCGAAACGTTGTGACAAATATGGCGACAAAGATGAGGACAATAGTCCGACTAATGTAAATACTGCTCTTTCTTCTCGTATTATTCATTTTTTTTTTATATTTTCTTTCTTCTCTTCATTTTTTTTTCTTTCTTGCATTATTCCTTTTTTTTTTCTTTATTCTCTGAATTTCTTTCATTTTTTCTTGCATTATTATTTTTTTCTTATTTCCCGCCTTTCCTTAATTTCATTTATGTCGTATTCTTCATTTTTCTCTATTCTCCCTTTTTTACTTAATTTCTTTCTGTTTTTCTTTCGTACAATATTATTTTTTATCTACTTTTCCTTATTATTTTTCTTTCTTTCATTCTCGCAATATTCATTTTCTTTACGTTTTATTATCTTTCTTTCTTCCTTTCTCGCGAATTCATTTTTCTTTATTTTTTCTTTCTTTTATTAATTTCCTCTTTTCCTTCTTTCTTTTCCTTCGAATACATTAGTTTTCTATTCCTTCTTACCTCAAATGTATGGATTTTCTTATCTCTTATCTTTATTCCTCTTATTTTTCTTCAGGCATTATTTATTTATTTAGATTTTTAATTGTTAATCTGTTTCTATTTCTTTAGTTTGTCTTTTTTCTTTTCATTGTTTATTCCATCATATTTTAGTTCTTTCTTTCTTTCTCAGTTTTTTTTTTTTGAAACATTGCTTCGTACGATTTTTCTTTTTCTTTTCCATTTCTTCCGCTCATTATATAATTATGTTAATTCTTTCTTTTTTATTCTTTCTTTCTTCTGTCATATTTTAATTCTTTCTTTCTCTCTTAATACTTCATTTTTTTTTAGGTCGCCATGTTCGGTAAACACGCGCTGACGTTTATTTCTATTCGAATCGACTACACGTACACACGCACACACACACACACATACGTACACATATACATTTACACATTCACCAGAAGCTTACGTTCATTCATTCTAATGAAGCTATTCACAGTTGTGAGTTCGATTCTCGGTGATTACACCACAACATTTTTTCACCTAACTTATACTTAATAAATATCTAGTTTGATTCTGGAAAGCGTTAATTCCACCAAATATTATATTTATCTTTTTCCGTCTTTTGCTGGGTTCATTGATTCAACCCATATTCAGCCAGATAGTCATGCGACTATCCCCGTGTCTTCGCAACAACGATAGGTAAAAAAAGATTGATCACTTAGAGACCTCAGATCAAAATCACTCAGATTTATCTCCCATTTGACAAATAAGATTTTGTAACCTTGATTCTATTTCAACTGGGTCAATTAGTTCACGCTCTCGGTTAAAATTGTCCAGTTTTTTTTTTTTATCGAGGATCAAACAAACAAGTTTTGAAACACATCAAACTGAGTATCAATAATGTATTTTCAATCTCATCTAAAAATGTATTCCTTAAGTTAACAGAGATTTATATTAATTGGTAGATTCTACCACTTTTTCTGTAAATTATACATACTTCTACATTTGTCATTTATTTCCATTAAATGAGAGTATTAAGACAAACAAATATCTAATGCGAGAAAGAAGCTTAGTAAATATGACCCCAAGCAGTTGATATAGTAGAATCCCTCATATCCGGAATATCTTATATTCTGAATCCCACATATCCGGACATGATTTTGATGTGTACATTTTAACTATTTGGCTGATATGTAACTGATTTGGAATTTCCTTTTTTAAGGAAATTTACTTTGGACTCTTCCTTATGCTTATTTCATCCTAATGGTTTGTATTGGTGGAAAAGTTGATGGAAATAAGAGGAAAAAAAGAACTTTGGAGTTATCGCAAAAAGTGGAAATTTTAAACAGACTAGACGCCGGCGAAAGTTCATTGTAACTAATGGCTGAGTTAGAAAGTCTACATTATATAATATAAAATTTTCCAAAGAAAATATACCCCAGCGTTCACACTGTCACATTGAACAAGGAAATAATAATTAAAAAAAAACATGATTGTGATGAAACCTGCACTGAAATTGAAAAAGCTATTGAAAAGGTTGTTAGTTTTATGGAAAGAAAGCCAGCATTCATCTGTGACGATTGCAATAACGCACGTAGACGTAAAAAGTTTCTTTCGTTTGAAAAATTTCAAGAACAAAAGCCAAACGAAATGCGGAAAAAGTAGAAAATGACATTAGAAGAGAAGGAATCATCATGCAACAGTGATTAAAAAATCCTCGTTACATTATTTGTTTTGCATACGTGACATAATTAATTTAATGAATTTTCAATATCATTACATAATTTTTTTTTTCCTTAAAATCAATTCCGTTATATTTCACTCAGAATTACGTTATTTTGTTTACTATAAAACATTGAAAATATGTTAAAACTAATTTCAGTTCTTTTATTTTAATCTAAATATAACCCCTCATATCCGGACTTTGTAACAATTTCCTCATATACAGAAGGCCTTCTTAGTTTGGTTGTCAGGGATTCTACTGCATTTTGAATATTGAATGAATATCTGCTTTCTTTAACCTTTGAAATTTGTTTCGATAAGTCCATCAACTGACTGCAGATTTCTAAATGTAACGTCTCATTTAACATGTACCAAGAGTATTTTGAGCGGACGGCGTTCAGATTCTTTAGAACGGACTTTGTATATCGCTGGAAAATATTTAACTGTTCGAATTCTTGATTTCGACAGTGTCTTATTCTCGTCATAATATAATGATATGAAAAGTGAGTATAGGGTAGATTTCGCGTTTCAATATTCTGATTTCTATTGAATATATTCAATATCGTGTTAATTCAATAGAAACCTCGCTGTCATATGTGTGTTCTCTTTTTTCTGTTGGTGGTTTCTCATGCTAGCATTGCATTGTCTTCTGTGAAGTAGACATCTTCTCTTTTCAAATGAACTGCTTGTTGTACAATTGTATGGGATTTGTCATCCATCTTTTCTGAAAGTTGTCATAACACTTCAGGAAGTCTAATGAATTGTTTATTTAAATAATCTGGATTCCAAATTTAACGTTTCCCCCTTCATTAATATTCGGTTTCACCTGAACTTTGGCACATTCATTGTCCTAGTAATAAGACTTAATATATTTGACTGAGAACTACACTAAAATATTGATATAAATGTCAAACTTATAACTGATATATATATATATATATATATATATATATATATATATATATATATATATATATATATACACACAAAATATGTGTGTATGTGTGTGTGTGGAACATAACAATTATGTGATTTTCCACTTGTTAAGGACAATTGGTTGTCTCAAAAGAGGGTATTCATCTAATAGGTGTTGTGCCTTTAAATTCTTTAGAGATGATTTTTGTAAATGTTTTGTCTTATCTGATATGTATTAACAAATCGTGTAACAGTAAATGTGCCCGATTGTTACATTGAGCGTTGAACCGTTGCACCTTAGAAATAATTAAAGATAACTTACTGAAATGATCCGAGGATTTTATAACACTATTGGACTCTACTTTGAAAAATAATAATGTATTTAGCTCTAAGTTGAAATGATGATCCTTCTTCCTGTTGTGACATCCAGATCCAGTTTTCCTCGATACTGTTCCCTTTTTTTCAAATTATACACCGTACTATATATTCATAACTATATATGCAAAGTAGGTAACTTTTCTAATTCTTCATTAATTATGTTTATTATTTTTACTGCATATCTCTGGCTCTCTCTTTATATATATATTCATATATATATTCATATATATATTCATATATATATATATTTGTATTCATACATATATAAATATTCATATATATATATATATATATATATATATATATATATATATATATATATATATATATATATATATACGTTTCTTATATATGAATATGTATATATATATATTTGTTTATATATGTATTCATACATATATATATTCCTATGTATATATATATATATATGTATATGTATTCATATATTCATATATATGTATATGTATTCATATATATATATATATATATATATATATATATATATATAGATAGATAGATAGATAGATAGATAGATAGATATTAAACTTCGCTGTTACAGACCTTTAAGAAATGTGTTGCCATAATCATTATTGACTTTATTTTGGACTTTAATTCTATTCGAAAATGTGCTTATAGTATTTTAATTTTTATTATTATTCTCATGTAATACAAATTTATTTTCGACTAATATATATCTAAATTGTGAACAGGTGCATGTGTGTTTCTTTAAATGCTGTATGTAGGTGATATGCTTTGCCAAATGAAATATAAGCCTTCTCAACATCGTCAATATAAGAACAGCATACGTAGTAATATTGTTATGCAATCTCCGAAATGACAATTAAATTGAAATACAACTTAGACTTTTTGTAAGATGCTAGTTGACGGAGTAATATTGTTTCGTACAGTTAGCTTGCTTGTATTAAATTTAGTATTGTATATAATTAATTTCATTTTTTTTTACTCAGATCAGTAGGGGATGCATTAGTGTTTATGACTTTTTCAAAATTTTTCCTGCCTTTAGTTGAAATGCATTTCATTACGGTATAGTAATTTGATACATTTAGTGTTATTTCATGATCTATTGTATTCAATTTTATTTATGTTTATATTACTAATAGCTCGTATAATTTGTTCGTCAATAATGTAATTAGGAAAATCATTGTTAATAAAGATTTGTTTATTTTTTTAATTCAGTATCAAAATATCTTTCGTTTTATAAAATTTGATTTTGCAGGGTCCATTAAGTTTCGTTTAATAGCTATTTCGTATCAGTTAAGACGTTTACTTTTATAGTTGAAAGTGCAAAATGTTTTTTGCAGAGTCGAGTCAAAATTTGAACTTTTTAATAAGAAGAGGACATTGTATGCAAGAAGAAACACAGAATTAAATCTCAATGAGGAATATGTGGTTATAAGTATATAAATATGGTCGTGTTTTTATTATAATGCGGGAGAGGAAGCGACGGGGATTTGATTCATATCATGGGAATCATGAAAAATGAAGAACAAAGATTCGGTTTTGAAAAGAAAATCTATAGCGTCTGGTTTACAAATAATAGGAAGAAATATGTTCAACAAGCAAAGATCCGATGTGTTTTTTCTAAATTATGTCAAAATTACCTCGTGTGAAAAAAGAACAACATTTAGGAAATTATTAATTGGAGCCTAACCTCTATTCCATTGAATTACAATGAGATGAATTGGACAAGAAAGTTTGAAGAGAACACCCAAACTATGAGAATGACCTTTTGCTTCTGAAGATCTGTCACCATTTTAAAACAAAACTGCTGGAAAACATACTAAGAATCAGTAAACCAGTAATAAAAACAGATGGTAATTTTAGCGACGTAAACGAAATATGATGGCTTATCTTTGTCAAATTAAAAACAAATATACTGTAGTTACTGAAATATTATAGTTCAATGATTTTGTAAATAAATTCA